TATTTTGATTAATTGGGTTATCGACGGGCAATGGCAATTTCACCCTCATCATTCGTTTCAATTTACAAGGGAAGAATTACACCAGCCTTAAGTCTTCTCATGACCCCCATGAGCAATGCAACAAATTGAAACACAAGGTCCCCCACGGCCCCACACACAGAATAAACAAACATGGCTCGAAACACTAATTCCCCTCTAATAAATTTCTGTATTTAGGGTTTTTGTATTTTTTCACTTTTGTCCAATTCTTTAGACGGGGATGCAACAAGAACCATAATCAAATTGTTAAAGTTTTAATTTCAAAATGTGTATAAACTAACTTAAAAAAATATTTTAATAACTAAATAATAAAAGAAATATATTTGTTTTCCACATAAATGACGAGTCGAAAGAAGTTTAAAACAAGGGTGAATGATCACATTTAAAAATGAAATAAAACACCAAAGAAAAGCACGCATAACGTTCGATCCAAACAATTAATATTACTGAATCTCAGGTGTCTGAAATACATATCTCAAAGGTTGTTTCTAGTGGTATCCAAGCTTATTATTTATGTATTTTTTTTGGGATTGCCACATGCATATACTAAATCGCTTTGAAAGTGGATCTTAAAGTGGAATCGGCTCCACGAACAGTTTGAGGATGTAGTCTTTGAGAACTTCTTCGGAATATGTAAGTCCATCGGCATCCTTGTAAGTGAGATCTACAACACGAGCTATATTAAAAGCTCGGAGCAGGATTTTCCTGGGAACAATAGTTGGCCTCATCAACCAATCCTCGTTCAGTTCCTTCCATGCATTCCGAGCTCTTCCCCTACACGCTTCAATTGCCTCCTCTCTGGAAACGCCATGCTCCTCTATGTAACAATTGAGCCCAGCCACAAGCCCTCTCTTTTCTTCATCCTTCATTAACACAAATTAAACTAATTAGTTAGATTTACATATAATGGGTTTGAATATTTCTTATACTAAATTGATATTAATAAATTGCTAATAATATTGGTTAGATTATTGAGTACGTAAGTACCTCGTTTGACACAATATCATGTATAAACGGCCGATGACATTCATTCCATGAAGTGTTTTACCTTCACCTCTTGCAATCCATTCAAATGCTTCAATCCCTGCCTCTTCCATCCCAATACAAGCCTGTGCTAGGAGAAGATTAGCCCCACTAGTGTTTACGGCTTCCTCTAAATACTCATCTAGCGTCGGTAGGCGATCTTCCATCGTCCATCGAGCTTGAACAGTGTACGTTTTTAATGTTTTGATCGTCTATTCACAACAACGACAAACAGGAAAGATTAATTAATTTCTTGTTAAGTGAAATAGAATTAATT